GAGTGAGTGTGTTGAGCGCTTAGCAGGCGCTCTACTCTGCTCTGTGTTTTTTTGTCGATTTTGGATATATTTTCGCTACAACTTGGATTACTTTCTATACGTGCTTTTTCTACCAACGCAAAAGCATGGACATACACTTGATCTGATCATCACGCCGAATAATGCACCTCTTTTCAAGAACATAGAAGTCACAGACAAAGGTATCTCGGACCACCTATTACTTGTAGCTGATTTGAACCTCAGTAAACCAAACACCGTATCAAAATGTGTTCAGTCTCGTAATATGAAACAACTCGATGTCTCATCTTTTAAATCGGATATAAACTTCGTTCTCAGCTCTACGCCTGACACCTCTGTAGATCAATTCTCTTCAGTTCTGCGCAATGCATTGGACAAACATTCTCCTGTAGTCACTCGTAACATTTCACCAAGACCAGCATCTCCGTGGTTTACTCTCGAGATCAAAGAGGCCAAAAAACAACGAAGGAAAGCGGAGAGACAGCTTAGAAAGACAGGCCTCCACGTCCACAAACAGATTTTGGCAACTAAACGTAACAACGTCAACACCCTGATTGAAAACAACAAGAGACAATTCTATCTTAACAAATTTCAAAATGTAAACTCCTGCAAGGAACTTTTTCGATTATCTGATCAATTATTGGGAAGGGAGAATTGTACACGGTTTCCACCTGGAACTGATAAAGAACTTTGTTGTAATTTTCTGCACTTTTTCAATGATAAAATTGAAAGAATAAGAACTGATTTAGACTCTGATATGTTAGATGTAAATACAAATATAGTTGTTGATGAAAATCTTGCAATTATGAACAAATCAACATTGAGTGAATTTAAAGTGGTATCAGAGAAAGATGTCATTAAGTATATCAAAGAGTCCCCCGCTAAAACATGCGACTTAGACCCAATACCCACTTCATTGTTAGTTACGTGCATCAAAGATCTCGCACCATATGTTACTCGTTTTATTAATATGTCACTCACCACTGGAATCGTACCTGATCTTTTCAAACAAGCCATTGTAAAACCTTTACTTAAAAAACAAGGTCTTGATGAAAACGACATGAGAAATTTTAGGCCAGTTTCCAATCTAAACTTTTTATCAAAAACCCTGGAGAAAATCGTTTTGTGTCAAGTTCAACAACATCTAAAGGCCAATGACATGGAAGAACCTTTTCAATCTGCTTATAAAAGGCCCCACAGTACGGAAACCGCTCTTTCAAAGGTTACATCAGATGTTTTAAATGAAATCGATAATAAAAAAGTCTGTGTTTTGGTTCTGCTTGATTTGTTAGCGGCGTTCGATACCATCGACCACGAAATTTTACTAGAGAGATTGGAAAAGTCATTTCTACTATCAGGTACTGTTCTAATGTGGTTTAAATCATATCTAGACAATAGATTTATGTCAGTGAAAATTGGCAATGATGTGTCAGATAGGTTACCTCTAAAATACGGAGTTCCTCAGGGTTCGGTCCTTGGTCCTGTCATCTTTACAATGTACACGCAAAGTCTGTCATCAATAATTTCTTTATATGCCCTCAATTACCATTTTTATGCAGACGATACACAGCTGTATGGATTCACTACAACTGACAATGTACACAATCTCATAGATAGAATCGCCAGATGTATCAATGATATAAGAAAATGGATGTTCAAGAACAAATTAAAATTAAATGAGGATAAGACCGTAATATTATTTCTTCGTAGCAGCGCATGCAATGAAATCGACAATATCAGAATAAACATCAATGGCCACGAAATATCAGCCCAAACTAAAATAAGAAATTTAGGTGTGGTGCTAGATCAAGATATGTCAATGAAATACCACGTATCCAATCTTTGTAAAAATGTATATCTCCAGCTGAAGAAAATAGGGAGCATTAGAAAATATCTATATGTTGGTGTCACCAAAACTTTAATAACATCACTTATATTGTCAAGGATTGATTATTGCAATTCCTTACTGGCTAGTGTACCTGATGAACAGTTACAACAACTACAAAGAGTACAAAATATTGCTGCCAAAATAATTACTAAAAAACTAAAGCATGATCATGTGACTCCTATTTTAAAAGCATTACACTGGCTCCCAGTGAAAGAGCGTATCATATATAAAATCTGTTTAACTTGCTACAAGTGCTTAAATGATTTATCACCGGACTATCTAAAACAGCTTTTAACACCCTATGTGCCTCCTAGAACGCTCAGATCATCAACTGACAAAACAACCCTTGTTAAGCCTAAAATAAATTACAAATCATATGGCCAACGCTCTTTTTCATATTTTGCCCCACTTGTTTGGAATAGGCTTCCAAAAACTATCAGAGAAGCAGAAAATCTAGAAATTTTTAAGAAGAAACTAAAATCATTTCTATTTTCATCATATTTCGATTAGACAGAATCCATCCAAGCTGTAGATCGTTGTGAGTTTGTATGTGCGTATGTGCATATGTACGTATGTGTGTATGTGAGTATGTATGTGTGAGTGGTGCGTGCGTGAGGGAATATGTGTTTGCATGAGTATGTAACACTATGTACCTTTAAAATTGATTTGTAAATCCATTATATGTATCATGTTAAGCGCACAGAGCATTGCATAAGTGGATATGCGCTATATAAATGCAATCCATTAGGAGTGGTATGCCTCTGCAGTTGTTACAATTGCTGAGGTCTCTTTTCTTTGGCAGCTTGATAAGGTGGCCTTCCTTCCAGCCTGATGGTATTTCCTCTTCTTGCCAAATCTTTCGAATAGGGCATAGAGAATTTCCACTGATGTATCTTTATCTGCTTTAAGGGCTTCCGGTGGTATATGGTCGGGATCAGCTGCATTGTGGGACTTCAGTGCTGTTATAGCTGCAGCAATTTCCTCTCTCGAAGGTGGTTCCGTAGCGATTGGGAGGTCATTTCTTGCTGGAAGAATTTCTGGTTGGTTTTCTGGAGGTGGTCTGTTCAATAGTTGATGAAAGTGTTTTCTCCATCGGTTCAGTTGCCCCTCTGGGTTGGAGATAGTCTTTCCCTCTTTGTCTTTCAATGGTAGAGTGGGCTTGCTGAACCTACCTGAAAGAGTCTTTGTTGTCTGATGTACAATCTGAAAGTGTCTGTCTGTTGCTGCTTTCTCTGCCGTTTCGGCCAGGCCATTCAGGTAGGTATTCTTGTCCTTCTTGATGGAATTCTTTACCTCCCGGCTTACTTCGGTGTGCTCTTGTTGTGCAGCGAGTTTCTCAGTTCGGGTACGGCAGTTGTTGACTTGCGCCTTCAGCTCTCTTCTTCTTTTGATTTTGTCTAGAGAGTCCTGTGAAATCTATTCATTCCTGGTGTTGTCTTTGGGTCCTAGGGTGCTCTGGCAAATTGCATTTACTGCCTCTTTTTATCTTGTCCGAGTGTTCGTTAACTTCACATTCATCCAGATCTTGAAGGGCTTCAAATCTGTTCTTCGGTTTCAACTTGAATTCATTTTTCTTTACTGGATCTTTCAGAAGGCTCACTTCATACTTTTGGCGACTTCCAGTTGAAATTTGTGCATACCTTCTCAGTTTTAGTTTCATCCTTCCAAGGATCAAATGGTGGTCTGATGCGACGTCTGCTCCTCGTAAGACTCGGACGTCCACCAGTGAGTCACTACCTTGTTTCGCCATTTAGTCGCCTCCTACGACACGCTAGCACCACGTCAGTCCTATTCTTTTCAATGCCGGGACTGCACGGCTATGGTATTAGACCTTACTTTTCATTATTAGGACATTCCATTATGAGGACAGAGTAGACCTTACTTTTTATCATTACTTAGAACTTCCTACTGCACCGATGCCTGTGTTGTAGTGGTTAGGTTCTTTGCCGTGGCAGCCCGAAGTCGTGGGTTTGATTCCCTGATTCCCGGTTGTGGGAAAAAAATGTTTATAGATCTAGCCCACCAACGTCTTTCTGCTGGGCCGTTGCACCCCTCTCAGCCGGGGTCGGTTCTGACAGGCAAGGTCAAAGCGGCTGGCCGCGTCCTGGATTTTCTACATAGTGTCGATGAGGACGTAAAACGTCTACAATTCCAATCAGATATCACTCCCTGCTTCAGCTTCAGCAAAAGTAAAACGAGATCTGCAACTATACGACTCCGAGATTTATTTCAGAAAAAAAAATCCCCAAGGCCGACACTTTTCAGAGAACGGATTATGAGGTACAAAAAAATACGACACTATTGAGACCAAAGAGGTTATTTAACCCTAGAGCTAGCAGCAGTGACGTCATACATGTCATACATGGGGGCCTTCTTACCCTTATTGGCATGGCCGGCGTGCCCCCATTTACATGTACAATCTGAGCCCCAACACCGCTCCCCACGAGCTCTAGTATATCTAACACCAGCCTGCCTTCATATTTCAGTGCATGTTTGTAGATTTCCTCTTAAGATCGCCGAGACGCCTCCACGTGAGTTTCGGAAAGTAGTCACTCGTCTGTAAAACTGCGCATGTCTTGACCTTGAGGTTCAGCGTCCCAGAGTGGGCACACGCAACCCCCGTTCGTTTACGTGGGTGATATCACTGCCATGAACTCTGGTACAAAATATAATCTCTTTGTATAAGTAGGGGACATCACTGCCACGAACTCTTGTGCGAAATATAACATCTTTGTTGAAGTGGGGGGGG